ATATGATAAATTCCACAGACAGATAGTTTATCCCAGTAACCCTATATTTCTCTCAAGGCAGGTTTACTTTAAAGCCTAAATACTGTAGCTTTTTAACCATTTGAACCCCCTTCCTGTCCAGGCCATTTGTTCAGTATTAGGCGCTGTTGTACTTTGACAATTATTCAGCCATGCAACTCTGTGTACTGAAATTAATTTTGTAGTATTTTTTTGGGACACAGAGAACTTTCTTTTGGTGGTATTTAATCACCACTGGAGTTTTTATTTTTTACTATATTAAGGAAACATTACCGAAAAGTTTGAAAAAAAAAACTGTTTTCCCTATGTTAAGCTATGAAACATTGCACATAAATAATCTTTCCTAATAAATTTAGGCCAAAATGTATTCTGCTACATCTCTTTGGTAAAATAAAAAAACAAGGTTGGCAATAGTGGCAATCAGGACTCTGACGGACTGACAGGCTGGCACTGGCGCAATCAGGACTCTGAGGAAATGACAGGTTCGCGCTGATGGCAATCGGGACTCGGATGGACAGGCTCACGCTGATTGCAATCAGGACTCTGACAGAGTGACATGCGGGTACTGAGGCAACCAAGAATCTGATATTACTAGCAGACTGGCACTGTGGCACAATTTGTGCTGGAACAAGTGGTGATTGACACAGTATTCTTTTTCAAATAGTTGTCACTGTCAAGAAAGTCTCCTCTCGCAACCGAACAGTGTATGAGAGGAGAGGAGAGAAAGCTGGAAACTGCAGCCATTGTTTGCATGTAGTGATCTGCTGGGATTGGTCACAGCGATCACACAGAACAGAGACGATTTCACTGGCTCTGCAACAAGTTGTTTAAACTACACTATCCAATGGACAATGTGTTCACAGTTGTCTGCTCATGCGTACGCGAGCAAGAAAAAAAAACCCCGTATATTTACGTGAATCTGCTGATGGCAATCAGCCTTCTGTCCTTTCCATTACAACGGGCGGAAAGCAACAAGTTAAATAAACTAAAAATGGAATCTCCTAGACCTGTGGAAATGAAAGAAGTTAAAGAACTCTAGGCAAACAAAGAAACTTACCTTTGCAGTGGGGCTAACCCCACACTGCAAGGGTTAAGTGCTCATTTTGTCTAGGGACACTATTAAAGGATTACTAAGGTCTGGGCATTTTTTACTTTAATACATTCTCTGCATTTGATGCGGAGACCCACTAGAGAACGAGGAACTGAACATTTTTAATTAAAATAACAAAGGATATTTAAAAGTATGGGCCTCCTATTTATAAAAATGGAAATTAAGCTTTAATATCATTTTAAAGCTGTTTTGCTTAAATCTCAGTCTTGCTGGCTTTCTCCTTGCTGTGCCCGCATCCACTTCTCCCCTTTGCTCCGGCAGTCTACGGACCACTGATGTAATCACTTCTTATGCAGGTCCATTGACCTGCATTAGAAGTAAAGACACAGAGGGACAGTTTACCAGCCGGAGTGGAGGGGGAGAGAGGAGAGCGCTGACCAGCGCTGGGATCAGGTAAGTAAAACAGATTATTTTTGAGTTCCCTAGTCAAAGCGAGTACCTATCCCTAGCATTGCAAGGGTAAGATTTTTGTTTTGTTTAAAATACATACATCCTCTCCTTTGCTAGAAGGTCCAATGTTGGCCCTGTTTTGGATTAAATGATGCCCGGAGTCATTCATCCCACTTCCTGTGAGCCCTGCTGTTCATGGGCAAACCGTCCTGGGGTACTTCATGTCAGCCTGGGCTCACAGGACAGCATAGATATTTGAGTGTTGCAAGTGCAGCAGTATAAAAAGCAGACAACAATCAAGAAATGGAAGGACCTGTAATGTCACATGACTGTCCAGAAGCCTGCTTGATTTAAAGAGACACTGTCATTAAAAAGCACTTTTCAGGCTGCTCATATCAATAAAATGTTTACAGTTAGCACCTACTGATGCTGCCTTTGCCTAGCAATTCTTTGTGCCTTTTGTTAGTAACAGCCCTGTAATTTTCTTCAACCTCTGACACTTCTAGACAGTCCGCATGGCTCCATGCTGCCTGTGAATCCACTAGCAGAGAACAGAGTATTCTGTGTCTGCGGACCATCAGAACTCACTGCTGTCATTGACAATGTGCAGGCCCTCAACACACCACTGCAGGATTTGGAAGTTTCACAAGCCTCAGCCAGTCACCTTGGTGATGTCAGGGCAGAAAGCTTCAGACACTCCTAAAAGTATCGGAGGGTAAGGAAAACTACAGGGCTCTTATTGACAAAAGGCATAATGAATTGGTATAGCAAGGGCAGAATGAGTAAGTGCAGTGTTAATTTCAGACATATTTCCTGGAATTCATAAAGAGTGGCTTAGACACTGTTTAGAAGAGTGTCTGTGCCATCATACAACAAATGTCAGTGAATGTCAGAAACATGCACATTCATTTTTCAAAAAGCCTGCCTTGTGCACAATTCTCAAGGATGCTTTGTGGCTGAGCTTCATTGGTTGCTAGGATGCGGGCAACTGATGACTTTGTGTGGCTGATCACTTTACAGCTACCCTGTTTCCCCGAAAATAAGACCTACCTCGAAAATAAGACCTAGTACTATTATTGGGAATTGCTAAAATATAAGACCTACCCCGAAAATAAGACCTAGTTGTGACCATGCCCAGGGCCGGAGGTGGCATAAGGGGGAACTTGAAGAGGCGCGGGAGAGAATCAGCGGTGCCAAGGAAGCCAGCGCTAGAGGAAGCGAGGTGGCAGCAGAGCAGCATAAGACAATGCCTCCTCTATAGCGCCGCTCCTGTCACTGGCGGAGTGATACCAAATGCACTCCTCCTGTGAGGAATCAATACTAAAAGTGTGCTTCACTCATTCTGGCCAGCGATTGGTTACCAAATTGCTCTTGGAAAGGTACGGCGCCCATGATTGCCCTGATCACCCTATTCCTAACTATGCTATTTTGGATTATTTAATTTGGATTTGCGTTAACTTTGGATTGTTGTACATTAAAAAAATACGACCTACCCCGAAAATAAGACCTAGTGGGTTTTTTAAACCAAAAAAAAATATAAGACAGTGTCTTTTATTTTCGGGGAAACACGGTACTGCTCTTCCCCCTTGGACTGTGGATTACTTGCGTTCACCCACCGTCACTTGTAAGTGATATTATACTGTTTGTCTATCCAAGAAAATTGATTTATATATACTGCACTGTGTAAATTCCCTTGCACTGCTCTTTTTTTCTTCTTTTTTTTTCCTGTCCTTTGTCTGTCCAGATGGTGTGGTTGGTGGGACACAGCTCTGTCAGGGCCAATGACGTTTTATGACCAAACCGGCAACAACCGGGGGGGTGGTTACTCCGCACTCCCGAAACAAATTACTCAAAAATGACATTGATCCTATTTAGCGGCAGTTTCCTTATCTCGAAATGGTGATATTTATTTAGATGCCCAATGTAAGCCTGTGGGCAGCCGTGTGTAAATGGTCCGTTTACACCCGGTTACCTCCGCCTCTTGATGGGTCCGGAAAAACAACTGGTAAAGTGTTCCGTTTCACTGGATTGTGCCAGATCGGGGGTTATCTGATGTAAATGGACTTATGGCAGTTTGCAAGCAATTTCCCCATAGACACACATGTTTTTTCCCCCAGTCATCTTCCAGGAACGCCAATGAGAGAAGGCTTCGCCCACCTGAAACAGGAAACGCATCATCCACATTAGATCTTTAAAAAAAGACCTACAAACCAACCTCCATTTATTTTGTGTTTCCTTCGGCCGAACAGGAGCATTGTAACGTTTGTTGTTGTACTTCAGGCCATCTTGCAAGTTGCAGGGGCCTCCCATGCTATGCGGTCTCAGAACCAGGGACAGTGGATCCTGGATATTGGCATATGTGGGCTTCTGGATCGGATCTCCCACCCGATTATAGGCCAAGGTTTCCTTCCACATTTGAAGGGTCGGTAACCGTCCTCCAAGGGATGAGTTACCCCAGATGGAGATCCCCCTGTGTGTGTCTCAAAATAACATGTGTTATTGTCCTGCTTCCCCAATTATGTGGCTCCCACTGCACTGACTCAGCGTGCCTCAGCGTGCCACACCGGTGGCCCAGGGATCGCCCGACAGTTGGCCAGGTCCCCCCATGGAGTCTGGGGTTCCCCCACAACACTTGTGCTGGGGTCTGGGCTTCCGGACATGCCTGCTGCGGGCGGGGATCGGTTCCCCTGGAGAGGGGGCTTACCGCGCCTGGAGGGTCGCGTGAGGCTTTCTGGGGAAGGAGAAGGTGGGCACGTCTTTGGCCAGGTGATCAGCCCGTGTGAAAGGGGCCTTGCACTGCTTTTCTAAATTTGGGGCAGGCCGATCAAGAAGCCGGATGGCGGGTAATGACTTGCAGCCCGGCTTCCTGATTGGCCGAGAATCCAGCTTCCCAGCCAATCAGCATTGAGCTGGCCAATCAGAAAGCCGGGTGGAGGGTAATGGCCCGCCTCCTGGCTTATTGATTGGCCGGGAAGCCGGCTCCATGTTAGTGGAAGCATCGGTACTCTGTATCTGGGAGTACCGGAAGATAAATATCGGTACTTGTACTCTATACCGAAAAAACAGTATCGGTGCATATGTACTGAGAATTATTACCTAATGTTTATTTTTTGAATGAAGGGGGAAGGTAAAGTTTAAAGATTTGGTGTTGTTCTTTGAATTGGAGTTATGAAATTGGAGCAAAAGAAAAGTGCTGTTGATCATGATGGAAGTTAAATGTAACAGAGAATCTGATTTGCTGCTGTGTGTAACCATCATAGTTTTGGGAAGGTGCAGTGTGACGGTGCACACAGCAGATAAGTTTGTGGAAATCTTGTTTGCTGCTTCCTGTTGATAGGTTGTGTTTGGACGTCAGTGCTTTCATGTGAAATAGTGTTAAACAGACGCTTGGTGCAAAATTTTAAAGCGGACCTTCCATGACAAACAAAAGGTTACATTTTTGTCGAAAAATGTTACAAAGTGTTTCATTGTCTCTACAGAAACCCCAGCAATGTCAAATGAACTGGATGTGTTTGTGGGAAATACCACTCTGATCGATGAAGAGGTTTATCAGCTCTGGCTAGATGGATACTCAGGTATTTATCATATTAAACATTTGTGAAAGAATGGGTCGCTCTCAGGAGCTCAGTGAATTCAAGCGTGGTACCGTGATAGGTTGCCACCTGTGCAATAAGTCCGTGAAATTTTCTTGCTACTAAATATTCAACAGTCAACTATTAGTGTTATTATAACAAAGTGGAAGCAACTGGGAACAACAGCAACTCAGCCACGAAGTGGTAGACCACGTAAAATGACAGGCGGGGTCAGCGCATGCTGAAGCGCACAGTGCGCAGAAGTCGCCAATTGTCTGCAGAGTCAATAGCTGTAGACCTCCAAACCTTGTGTGGCCTTCAGATTGGCACAACAACAGTGCATAGGGAGCTTCATGGAATGGGTGTAAAGCACGCCGCCACTGGACTCTAGAGAAGTGGAGACGTGTTCTCTGGAGTGACCAATCACGCTTCTGTCTGGCAATCCAATGGACGTGTATGGGTTTGGGGGTTGCCAGGTGAACGGTACTTGCCTGACTGAATTGTGCCAAGTGTAACGTTTGTTGGAGGGGGAATTATGGTGTGGGGCTGTTTTTCAGGGGTTGGTCTTTGTCCCTTAGTTCCAGTGAAAGGAACTCTTAAGGCATCAGCATACCCAGACATTTTGGACAATTCCATGCTCCCAACTTTGCGGGAACAGTTTGAAGATGGCCCCTTCCGGTTCCCACATGACTGCCCACCAGTGCACAAAGCAAGGCCCATAAAGACATGGATGAGCGAGTTTGGGGTGGAGGAACTTGACTGGCCTGCATAGAGTCCAGACCTTCACCCGATAGAACACCTTTGGGATGAGTTAGTGCGGAGACTGCAAGACCGCCCTTCTCGTCCAACATCAGTACCTGACCTCACAAATGCGCTTCTGGAAGAATGGTCAAACATTCCCATAGACACACTCCTAAACCTTGTGAAGGCCTTCCCAGAAGAGTTAAAGCTGTTATAGCTGCAAAGGGTGGGCCAACTCAATATTGAACCCTACTGACTAAGACTGGGATACCATTAAAGTTCATGTGCGAGTAAAGGCAGGCGTCCCGATACTTTGGGCAATGTAGTGTATTATACATACATACATACATACATGCATACAGTATATATATGCCCATTGTATGATATGTTGATTTGAAATATACCCCCAGCCCTTCCACATCCAGGCATTTTGACTACAATTGAGGAATATTTTGACATACATTTGTATATGTATTTTTCATCTAGTCATTTTCACCCTAAATGCTTGGATAGAGTTTACCTTTAATACACTGAGTGGCCAGATTATTATGACCACCCCATCAGTACTTCGTTGGGCCACGAGATGACTCCACGAGATGACTTCGTTGGGCCGCCTCGTGACTCCACGAGATGTTGAAAGGTGATGCGAGGAATCTGACACTGCACTGTTGCCCTTCTGTTGTCTTGTACCAGTCTTGCCACTCTCCGTTCTGCCCTAACATTGACTAGTTGCTGACGGCCACAATTCGCACGTTCAGACCCAGATTTTCGGCTGACAGTCCAGTCTTTAAACACTTTAACAATGAGCCCCTCTTGAACATTTAACAAATTCTGCTGTTTTGCTGATACTCGCTCCATGGCTCGCGCCAACAATCATCCCACGTTCAAAGGCTGTGAAATCGCGTTGTTTACCCATATCTTCAGAAAAAAAATCACTTCTACTGTGGTGGTAAACAACCTGCTTTCCTATTTATAATGGTCTGGCCCTCTAGCAACTTCAGCGCAAAATTATAGCTAATTTGCCTACAAACGTCAGATGGTCATAATAAACTGGCCACTCAGTGTATATACTTCCATTTATATGGACATAAGCCATATGAGCGAAAGCCAACATTTTCTCAGAGTTGCTCCACCAGTTTTTCTTTGTTTAGAGATGATAGGCATGTTTATTTACCTTTTGCTGTTACACTTCTGTCTGTCTTGCAGTGAGTGATGCTGTCAATATTCGACTGAAAAGTGGAATTCTCGATCAGACTGGAGCAGGTCCTGATGTCCTCGAGAGTGACACCATGGACCATTACCGTACTTTTCAAATGATTGAAAGGCTCCTTCACTACCCCCCAAAGCTGGTACAGCAGCTGCTCTTTCAGATACCACCCTACAAGCAGAGCATGTTGATTGAGAGGTAGTGTGCCAAAACAAACAAAACAAAGTAGCAGAGACTGCCATTGACGACCATTTTCTAAAAATGCTAGTTATGTGGCTATTTTGATTACCTACTAGCTTCACTGACCTGGAACAAGTAGGCATTTCAGAAAAGTCATAAAGTCCATATTTGCATACATGTTTTGGTTAAATGGTATTGAAGCCAGAGGTTGAGCATGATTTTTGGGCTCTAGTGTTTTTTCCCATAGTTCTCCTTGGGGTAACGGGAGGACACAAACTAGCGTCCTCCCGTTACCCTAAGCTCAGTATACCGCGAGCTACAGCTCGCGGTATACTGAGACGCTGCACCTGGAGCGGATCCCGACGTAGCTGACGGGATCCGCCCAGCTGCGTGAGTGACAGCTGGCTCTGCCTATCTAGAGGCAGAGCCAGCTGTACCCGCCCCCTCCCCTGTCCGTTCCGCCAGTCAGCGCTGGCAGATCGGAGAGGGGAATCCAGCCCCTCCCCCTGTCACGGCAGAGAGCCGTGACAGGATCAAGAGGTAAGGGAACCCGGTATGTGTTCCCTCACCTCCCGATCTACTGAGCCGACCTGTGACAGTCTCATTGTCACAGGTCGGCTTACAACTATGAGGTGAGTGGAAATCACTCATGTCATAGTTCTCCTTTAAGGTTATGACTCACCGGAAGTCACATTAAGGAAGCATGGAATGACTCGCCGCCCGGCTTTCCAATTAGTTGGGAAGCCGTCTACTTACTTCCTTGTTACTAGGTGACGAGGAAGCATGCAGCCGGCTTTCTGGCCAATCAGGAAGGCGGGGGGGGTGGGTAATTACTCCCCGTCTGGCTTCTTGATTGGCCAGCTTCCCGACCAATCAGGAAGCAGGGTGGCGTATCATTACGACTTCTTCATTGGGCGGGATACCAGCTTTCTGGCCATTTAGGGAGCTGGGGGGTGGGTAATGGCTCGCCACCCAGCTTCCTGATTGGCCAGCTTTCCAACCAATCAGGAAGCTGGGCGGCAAGTCATTACACACCCCCCGGCTTCCTGATTGGCCGGGAAGCCAGCTCCATGCTCCCTCGTCACCCAGGTGATGAGGAGCATGAAGCCGGCTTCCCAGCCAATCAGGAAGCCGGGGGACGAGTCACAAGTACTCGCCCAAATACTCGGGATATATACTAGTATCGGTGCATCCCTAATTTTTAGCAATGGCAACCTCCATGATTCTCTTTGACAGATTGCTTTTACAACAGATCTGGTTTTAAGCTTTACTATGGTAGAAACAGAGCTGAGGTGCAGTGCCCGCATGTACATGTTAGTCTTCCGATGAACCCCTGTGTTCCTGTGGTCTCCCTTGAAACCTGAGACTCAGGGTGTTTATGAGGCCTTGGCCTTTGCTAAATCAGGAATAAGCCCCACTCCCTGGCATTCAACTGTCAAATGCCTTGTCTCTTGAAGTGGCAGACATGGGTTGGGCAGGCTAAAGGGTAAATTTGGTTTATATTCTGGTTGGAATATACTGTGTGATCCATTGATTCTTTAGATTTATTTTAATCCCTTATTCCTTTTTTTTTTTTTTTGCAGTTCGTTTTTACTACCAAATTTCTTTGGTTGGTTAGTCTCCGTTTTACTACCAATCTACTAGGTTGGTTGGCCTCTGTTTTGTTGGGACAGCAGGGGAACATGTACTCTTTTTTTTTTATTTTCCCTGCTTTAAAGTGAACCTGTTATTTTGTCCTGTACAGGTTAATGTTCACATTAACCCGCACTCTAACCCTTCTTTCTGTGAACATAACCCCTTTATTAAATACTCACCACTCTTGCACCTGACACCTCTTGCACTCAAAGATACTGCTGGTGGAAATATATCAGCTATGTATAAAGCTTGTGAAAGACATCCGAGCACTTAAAGGAAGGTCACTAAAAACACAGAGAACAACATACAAAAGCCATGCAGCAGGTGGCACTAGTAGGTGTTGAACCCAGCCAGGCATAACAATAGTGTTACTCAGCTGTTTTATAATCTTGTATAATCAATATATTCAAATCATAGTCCCTATTTTGGGTTCCTGAATGTTAATTGATTCCCTCTGTAGGTATTATGCATTTGATGAAGCTTTCGTCCGGGAAGTTCTTGGTAAAAAACTTTCAAAAGGAACTAAAAAAGATCTGGACGACATAAGTGCAAAGACTGGAGTGACCTTGAAAAGCTGCAGGAGACAGGTACTTTTCCTTTTTATGATTTATGGTATATTTTTATTATATGGGCATACTTTCTGATTGTTACTACCTTAATAGCTGTATTATATATTTCTTTTTTCTTGTACAGTTTGACAATTTCAAGCGAGTGTTCAAAGTGGTTGAAGAAATGAGGGGCAATTTAGTCGAGAACATTCAGCAGAATTTTCTGTTATCAGACAAGCTAGCCAGGTCTGTCTGCTTTCCTTATATCCATGTTTTTATGACACTTTACTATCATTTTATGAGACGCTTTTGAACATCTAGGTGCATTTGTCTGGAAAAGTGAAAAAATCAAGCCTATAGGTGAGAGGTTAAGGGTTTGGAGAGTGTACTGGGAAAGGTTCTTTGCTTTCTTGGCATGCAGACATCGGGATATAGTAATGTGGACAGAGGCCGTGACGTATATTTATAACGGGATCATTTGGAGCCATTTGTTCCCGGTGTTTATTAGTAGGGCCATATACAGGCACATTGGCATTTATATATACCAGTGTAAATATATAAATACCAAATGTGCTGCAGTGGTGTTTGTAATAGTACAACCCAATGAACCTTTATTGTCATGAAGAATATCTAACATTGAATTTTGTTAGGAGAAGAAGATACATTTTTACTTTTTTGTGCTATGTCGCTAGCTGCTTGTGCTTTGAGGTGACATCTATAGATACTTTATAGTTTACTTTAAAGAGACACATTCACTTTACCGAATCACAGCAAAGTGACAGTGTCTGCAGCTAGTCCACCCCTCAAGCCCTTATACTTGGCTCCCAGCTGCAGCACTTCAGCCTGTCTGAGCTCTGTTGCTGTCTGGTGTCAGAACCTAGTTAGGGGGATGACATCATCCCCCCCCCCCCCTCATGTGACAGTGTTAGGGCTTAGTGATTGGCTACTCAGGTCCACACACTGTCAGCAGTGGGAGGCCACATGCTCCCTCATACCTTGAAGCCCCAGTCCCTAGCAAGAGCAAAGCCGGTGCATGAGAGTGGTAAACCTAGCTGCCTGAGGGGGCTATCTGCAAACACTGTCACATTCAGTGTCTCTTTAACATGTGTATATTCTAAGGTTAAATTGGCTTTTCTTAGGGAACAGTTTAGAAAATGTAGGTGACAGAAAATGTGGCAGCGAGTTTTTCTTGGCAGAAGAGACTTTGGCAAAAGCATAAGTAGGTGCTTTGATGTTTATTTATGTTTCCTACATTTGCTGTTTTAAGCTTTGCTGACCATGTGGTTTTTCTTCCTTAGGGATTATGCTGCAATAGTTTTCTTTGCAAACAGTCGTTTTGAAACCGGGAAACGAAAACTTCAGTACCTCACTTTTGAAGACTTTGCTACCTGCGCTGAACATATTATTCAGAACTGGACTCTGGGAGCAGTGGGTGTGTAAAGAGGAAGTGTATGTATGTGTGTGTGTGTGTGTGTATATGTGTTATATATATATTTAAAGAAATTGTATAGGTAGTAAAGCTCTTTGTATCAACAAGTGGACCTCCAATGAGCTATATAATGAAGTCATGTATTATGTGTTGTAAACTATTTTTAAATTTGAACTCCAGGAAATATCTAAATGTGCTAGTGAAATAGATCAGGAAGCTGGTTTACCTGCTAAGTGATTTGTAACTATGTTCATACAATCCTGAGATTTACACAACCCTGCCGCACAACCAAGTGGATGACACTCTAGTGAGCCGACCTGTGACAGTCTCATTGTCACAGGTCGGCTAGAACTATGAGGTGAGTGAAAAGCACTCACCTCATAGTTCTCCTTTAAGTGAATGAGTACAGCAATGTCCTCTCTCCACCCACAGCCTTCTAACTGGACAGTGAAGTGGCAGTAGCACACAGATAAGGCCATCACTCTGCTTACTCTGCTTTCTCTTCCTATCAGTATCTTCCCTGTATTCTACCCAAGCTCCTGTTTCTGAGTTTGATTAGCTGGAATTTCATTTGAATTTAACATGTAATTTTGTAATGAATTAAGTTTCCTGACCAAAAACTACAGTCACTGTTGGAATTTGGTTTGTTTGAGAAAAAATTTCCATCCTGCTACTTTGATATTTTTTGGCACTATGGTCAAAAACAATTTGACAATTAAATATTACAAAATGGAATGAAGATTGCCAAATCTATCTTTTTAAAATGAAATTCTACTGCTTAATGCCTCCTCCATGCTTAGCAACCATTGATATCAGATATCAACCATACAAGAAGTGCAAAATCTACAATTAAGCTTTGCGACTGAAGCACATTATAGAGCGGAGGTTCATGTGGATCTGCAAAGGCTTTGGATGTTTGAATAAAATCATTCTGATGGCTTTTTAATATGGAGTGCGGCATTTTGCATTATTTCAGTGGTGAAAATGGTGTTTGGTTTGATTTTAGCAGAAAGACCGATCAGATTTAACTGAAAAGTAGCTGTAAGATGTTGCATACTGTGTCTGTTATGTATCTGGCTCACGGCTAAGTTGAAATAAATGGCTGGGGTGGAGATTGGTATTGAGGACATCTTAAAGGAGAATTATGAGGCAAGTGATTTTCACTCAGCCTCATAATCTGAGCCGATCTGTGACAATAAAACTGTCACAGGTCGGCTCAGTAGATCGGGAAGTGAGCGAACACATACTATCGCTCACTCACTTCTCGATCTATCCCTGCAGAGAGCCGTGACTGTCACTCACGGCTCCCTGCACCCCTCCCCTGTCTGATCCTCCAGCGCTGGCTGGCAGAACGGACGGAGGGGGCGGGCACAGCTGGCTCTACCTCTGGATAAGCAGAGCCAGCTGTCAATCCCGCAGCTGGGTGGATCTCGACAGCAATGTTGGGATCCGTCCCGGCTGCGGCGTCTCAGTATACCGCGAGCTGTAGCTCGCGGTATACTGAGCTTTGGGTCATGGGAGAACGCTAGTTTGTGTTCTCCCGTGACCCTTAGGAGAACTATGGGGAAAAGCCCTGACCCCATAGTTCTCCTTTAAGAGACGATGTAAGAGAGGCAAAGTACAAGTCGAAGTTTCACATTTCTTTAATAAAACAGCATTTACATTTTTATTACAGTTTTCTTTTTTCTCTTAAGATGTAGCAGAAGACATGGATATGGATTTGGATAAGGAATTTCTGCAGGATCTGAAAGACCTGAAAATCCTAATAACAGACAAAGACCTTCTGGATCAGCATAAGAGGTGATTAGTTGGGAAGGCAGCAAACAGATATTTAAGAGAAATGTTTTTAAAGTGTAACTATACTGAAAAACTTTTTATGTTTTGAGTGGATTAAGGAGGGGGGTTGATGTCCTTCCAGGTATTAACTGCTGCCTGTGTCCCTACTGGCCCTTTAGTTCAACTTTGTTCCATTTTCTGGAGTACATTGAACATTTATTTCTATAAAGAAGTTTATAGAAAGACGGTGGCGTTGGTGTTGCCAGACCCCTAGAAAAAGTATTCCTAAGAACTTACTAGGCAATGTGTGCTCATTCGCAAACAGGTTAATTTTGGGAGTGGGTGTAGGTCGTTGATTGTTCTAATTTTGTGGAATGATTTGAAGTTTCTATTTTGTTAACATATGTTGTGGAATAAATGTTATGTGCAATAGGATGATTAATATAGAAAAATTAACTTGAGAAGGTATTAGGGAGCAGAGCATCTCAGACACTTGTAACATGAAATATCACTATAAAGTGCACTGTGGAGAAATTGGAATCAAACTATGAAACATTCATCAAATGGAATACTCAAGGAGTGTGGGATGTACTTACAATTCCATGAAAGATATAAGAGGGTAAAAAATAGGTACAATAGGAATCTGATTGGGTGGCAGCGTGCTTTTAATAGACTTAAAATGTACATTTATTTAAGAACATGCATTGCTCCTAGAGTTGGCCTTTGGAGGAAAGATGTATACCATCCTGTAGCCGTATGGGATATGCTGGTTGGTGACAGATTATATACAGTATACCCTTACCTGGATACTTCTGCTGGTTGGTTATTATGTATAGAAACATTAATAGTTGTGACAGTCATGATCAATTATTCAGTATGGAAGTTGGTAACAGATTATATATGGTACCAGATTAAGATCTTGAGTAGATGGACAATTGCAGCATGCTTTCGGACACATGCAGCCATGTGAGTAATGTCCATGTGCTTTCTGCAGACATTGCTTATTGGCAGTGTCTATGTCCTCCCCACCAACAATACTTCATGAAATGTGCGGAGGACGTCCTTAGATGAGCTTGTTACCTACACTGATGCAGAACTGCTGACATCATATGAACTTTTTCTTTCCAGCTTAGTGTGTACATCTTTAAGAGCAAAAATGTGTGCGTTTCATGAAATGGAAACAAATTTTAAGGTAAGCATAATAGCTTCTTCTTTTTACTTTTTAGATGCTATAAAATTACATATCTACACATATATGCCAGCAACATAATAATGGTAAGAATGTATTAAAGCTGAAACAAATAAACGGAAATATAACCAAGTGCAACCAAGCAGATATAAAGTAAAACTGTACTGTATAAGCCAAACTCTAGGTCCATGATATGTAACGTTACTGGCCAATAGTGAGGCTGGGAAGGGGTGGGGCCTCAGTCAACCAAAAAATCTGGTTTGTATATGCATATTGATGTGAGCTGGATTCTGGGCACCTCTACAGTTGAGAAAAAAAACCCACCAAATGTAAACAAAATAAAACAACTGAAGGTACCTGCAATGTAGCAACAATGGCACCTGAGGAGTTTTTTGCAAGTACACATTTGTTTTATTTTTATTTTATTTTACAGAGCATATAAAAAATGAAAGCTAAACTAGTTGTGATGGGAACAATCCTGTTTTTCTCTGTAAATAACTCTGACTATCTATAATAATGCATTGAGCTTGCATAGTATAGGTCTCTATTTCTAATCTTTTTTTTTTTTTCTACAGACACTCTCTCGGGCTTTGGTGAATATTGGAACCAGCCTCACTCATAATAAGGATGTACGAGACTTCTTCATTGATCTTGTAGAAAAGGTATTAACACATTTCCTGTTACTCGCTCCTATCTTTATCTATAGCCCACTCTTTGATCTTTATAACATGTATTTTTCCTTGAGGTGATTGTGCAGTTGTTAAATGTTGTAACTTTAGATTATGTTCCATCAGTTTATATGTTGAACAGAAGACCATACACTGTTCATTTCTGTAATTCTGTGTTTGTGGTTACAGTAAAGGTAATCCTGTTGCTCAGCTTTTGAATTTTGAGAGAGGAACTGCAACCAGCATGTAACTGTCTATTACATAGTTAGGCTGAAAAAGGACACCGACACAAGTTCATCGAGTTGAACCTATAGAGAGAAGAAAACCTAAAACAGAACTCTATGCCCATGTTGATCCAGAGGAAAGAAGAAAAAAAACCCTGTAGGGCTGGGGTCTTAAACTCATTTGACTTGGAGGCCATTGTATGTGATATGATTACATGCGGTTAGAAAACACTCTCCCTGGTTGCACAATCGATGCGTCCAGGGAGAGTGACTGATTCCTAAGCAAATGTAATCATATCACATATCTTTACATGCAGTATGCAGGCGTTTACATGCAGCTGCTGTCATCTGATCATTAACTTAAATAGGTGATAGCTGTAAACACAAGATTATGCATTCCTCCTGCAGGAAAACACAAGTTCCTGATGCAGGAATTTCTAATTACACCTAAAGATACAGGTGTGAATGTAGCCTAATACACTCCCCCCGTACACATAAAAAAAGCTACCCCTGCACATATAAAATAATACACTCCCCCTGCGCATATAAAATAATACACTCACCCCCACCCCTGCACATGTAAAATAATACACTCCTTCTTTTTTCCCCCCGACAGCACATCCACATATAAAATTAACATAAAATACAGAGCCCCCTCTCCTACTTACCTTTTTGCAGGGAGGAGGCTGTGAGGAGGCACGGTCGATCCCTGGTGCTCTATCCATCCTTCGACCGAAGCTCAGAACTGAACTCCGGCCGAAAGGATCTCAGTGTCGGGAGGAGCAGCTCTGCGGTCTGCATCCGATAGAGATGCAGACTGTGTAGCTGCTCCCGCAAGTCAGGTATGCGGTCCGTAACCGTAGACACTGCCAATAGTACCGGCTCGCGGGCCGGTAGTTTGAGACCGCTGCTGTAAGGCATGGATCAATTTGCTCCATCAGGGGGAAAAAAATCCTTCCTGACCCCACAAGGCAACCAGATATTCCCTGGATCAACAATCTTCAGAGTTTATTTTACTTATAAAATGTTAATATCCAGTAATATTCTGTGCATTTAGGAATGCATCCAGATTTCTTTTTTTAAACAGTTAAATTAGCTAGCTAGAACTAGCTCCTGGGGGAGTCTATTCCACTTTTTCACAGCTCTAATTGTGAAGAAGCCTTTCCGTATGCAAAGGTTAAACCTCTTTTCCTCCAGACGCAAAGAGTGCCTCCTTGTCCTTTGCAGTGACCTTAAAGTGAATAATTTGGCACCAAGCTCTTTATATGGACCATTTATGTATTTATACATGGTGATCATATCCCCCCTTAATCGTCCTCTTCTCCAGAGAGAACAAATTCAGATCAGTTAATCTTTCCTCATAGCTGAGCTCCTCCATGCCTCTTATGAGTTTAGTTGCCCATGTGGAACATGCAGTTCAGTTTTGGGCTCCAGTTCACAAAAAGGATGGTGTGGATCTGGAGAAAGTGCAGACACTTTTTTACAGTTCCACAACATCTTTTTTTGGGGATTTGTATCATTTGATTTACACAACATGCCTACTACCTTTAAAGATGGAAAATATTTTTTATTGTGATACAAACAAATAAGAAAGAAAACGTAAGCGTGCATAACTAATCACCCCCCTCCCCCCAAAGTCAATACTTTGTAGAGCCACCTATTGCAGCAATTACAGCTGCAAGTCTCAGTCTCTGTGGATGGTGTTCTCGGGGTGGTGAGAGGTCTTGAGTTTGCGCCAGACATAGTGTTTTCCTTGAAAGTCAAAAAGCTCAGTTTTAGTCTCATCTGACCCAGAGTACCTTCTTCCATATGTTTGGGGAGTCTTCCACATGCCTTTTGGCAAACAGCAAACCTGTTTGCTTATTTTTTCTGTAAGCAATGGCTTTTTTCTGGCCACTCTTCCATGAAGGCCAGCTGTGTGGAGTGTACAGCTTAAAGTGGTCCTATGCACAGATAATCCAGTCTCCGATGTGGAGCTTTTCAGCTCTCAGGGTTATCTTTGGTCTCTTTGTTGCCTCTCTGATTAATGTTCTCCTTGTCTGGTGCATGAGTTTTGGTGGGTGGCCTTTTCTTGGCAGGTTTGTTGTGATGCCATATTCTGTCCATTTTTTTAATAATGGGTTTAATGGTGTTTCCGTGGAATGTTTCATATAATTCTTTTTTTTTTTTATAACCTAACCCTGATCTGTACTTCTCAACAACTTCGTCCCTGACCTGTTTGGAGAGCTCCTTTGTCTTCATGGTGCTGCTTGCTTGGTGATGCCCCTTGCTCAGTGGTGCCCCTTGCTCAGTGGAGTTGCAGATTCTGGGGCCTTTCAGAACGGGTGTGTATATATACTAAGATCATGTGACACTTAGATTGCACACATGTGGTCTTTATTTAACTAATTATGTGACTTCTGAAGGTAATTGGTTGCACCAGATCTTGCGGTGCAGCACGGGGACAGCACTGAAAGTGTCACACATATTGAGTAAGATATTGAGTCACATGCCAGCTCTGTCTGCAGTTCACATACCAGGGGTAGAAAACTGGCAAGCAGACTATCTCAGTGGAAAGGTTCTGGATCAAGGAGAGTGAGCCTTTCAGCCAGAAGTCTTCTAACACATCTGGCAGCGATGGGGAAGCCATATGCCGTGCTTCTAGAAGTTGATAGATTTGCTGCAAGGACAAAGGATGCTTTGGGCAGATGCGAATGGATGCATTGCTGGCTCCATGTGATTGATACAATCCCATGTAGTCTTATCCAAATTGGACAGAAGTTGAGGTGCTTCCAATGATCCTGGTGGCTCCAGATTAGCCCCAAAGGTCATGGTGCGCAGACCTCATTTGTCTGAGATAAAGGGTCTTCTCGAAGCAGTAGATGCCAAAGAGTGTCCACTACCAAAGACTCACTTACCACCCTGCTTTACAGCCTGTTGAAAACCCTGTGCTGAGTGACAGAGGGTTATCGATATGATTAGAGTGGTGCACCAGTTGGCCTTGAGCACACTTAGGGTGCTGGTGGCAGCATTGGTGTTTATTTTTCAATGTCCTTTGGCATTTCTTGTTCGCACTTTCATTTAGGATGTTACCCATGTTGCCCCTCCAGTCAGACCACCATTGTTGCCATGGGAAGTGCTTGTCCGCACTTCTATTTAGGGTGTTATGCACATTGCTCCTCTATTTAGACCACCGTTGCCATTGTGGAACCTGAACTTAGTTTTTTTGGTGTTGCATAAATCACTTTTAGGTACTGGGGAGATCCCGCTGCTAACACTCTCTCACAAAGTGGCATTTCTAGTAGTTGTTACTTTCGCGTCTATAGTCTTTAAAGTGGTGGCAGCAAAGCATTCATTCTTGCTCTTTCATTTGGATAAGGCCATCCTGTGTCTTCGACACTCTTTCATACTTAAGGTGGTTTAATTTTTCTACTGAAATGTGAACATTGTGCTTCCGTTGCTTTGTCCCAAACCAATCCACCCTAAGAAAGTTGCCTTAGTTCCTTTAGATGTAGTATTTGAATGCTACGTCGAGTTTTGGCAGGTTTGATACCCTATTCGAGGTTGTAGAGGGCCCATATAAGGGCATTGTAGTGCTGACTGCTACTAAATCACACTGTATTGTCAAACCTTATGCTACCAAGCTAAGAGAACCACCAGTTCGGGTTATTGCGCATTTGACGCGAGTAGTAATCGCATCTTTGGTTTTCCTCTATCAAGCAGCGATTTTTCCAATTTGGAAGGTGGCCACTTGGTTGTTCATGCAATTTACAAGATGGATGTGGCAGCATCAGCTAATGCCAGTTTTGGATGTAAAGTTTTGCAGGTTGGAATAGCCTGTATCTTTCTCTTTTGAGACAATTAGTCTGATTTTTTTTTTTTTTTCTTCCTACTCCAGTATCGCACTGCTTTGTGGCATCCCAGTAGGTGATGATCTAAAGCAGAGCTGCACCTCCAATGAACAAAAGACAAAATAGCATTTTTTGTACTGACTGCAAAATCCTTTTCTCTTTGTGCATTTGAGAACACAGCACCTGGCCCCCTGGCTTGCTGCTGCCTATGTACACATACTTTGTTTTTGTGTACACTACTGTATTATTTATGATAAACAATGCTTTAGCAAACTTAAAGGGTTATTAAACCCTCCGGTGTTTTTGCATATATCTACTGCTAGCAAGCAGTAGATATATGCAAAAAGTGTAAAAATAAAAATAAAAACGCTTTAAAAAAGGTTTAAACTTACCTGTGTCTTCCCCGCGCGCTCCCGTCCGAAAAATTCTCGGGCGGCCGCAAAGCATCTTGGGGCGGGCGCATGCGCAGTTCACATTTTTGGCCGGGAGACGAGGAGAGACGCAAGTTAAGGCTATGGATGCGTGCACCCGCATGCAGACACCGTGGGACAGGAAGTGCCAGCAAGGATAGGGGAGTCAGCACTGGATCGGAAACCCGCAGCAGCGCTGGAGGGACAGATGAAAAGGACAGGAAAGAAGAAGATCGGATTAAGAGACATCATTTAAGGTAAGTGCTTACATTAACATTGGGGGGAGGGAAAAAAAATCTTTGACTTTAATGCCACTTTAATAACCTCTAGTTAGAGTTTACCTCCATTTCCTCTTCAGGATGGGTATTTATAATATATAGTTGTCATGCTATATCTTTGACTAAAAATAGATGTCACACTGGTATTTTTTTTTGTGTTGGAGCAGATTTTCTTTGTATACTTGTATCAAATGTAGAGACTGCTTTCTGTAATTGCAACCACAGTATGTCTCCAACGTGCACTTTTTCATTGTTCATTTTGGCACCTCAAGTAAACAAATGTTTTTTTATTAAAATTAGTATGAACCTATAAGAATAGAAATATGGAAGCTATGATTTGCTAATGTACTCTATGAAGGTTCAGGCTCTGGGGCTGTCCCCCTGATTTTGGCTTCACTACCTCATAAGTCACCAACCTGGAGCAAGCTGCTGTCTAAAAAGACCAGACTCCTATCCTACATGATTGTTCCAGATCAGTGACTCATAAGAAAGTGCAGACAGAATCGGTCCTGGTGTCGGCATCTTTAAAACAAATATCAACAATGGTAACTCCCATTTCTCTTTCCTCCCAGGTTCTATTTGCATGTGTTGTGTGTTAAAAATACATCTGAGTATATTTTGTTCTGTTTTTTTTAGGTTTTAAGCTGTATACTTGTAATAAATAACTGTCATCATTTCCTTCCCTTTACTTTCATGCAGTTTATAGAGCCCTGTAAATCTGCTAACTGGTCTTTTTCGGATGTTCAGCTGTTTCTCACTCAGTACACAGCATCTGCTCGTGCTCTTGACGCCTTCAAGTGAGTGTTTTATTGGTCTCCCTGCTGTCACTGTGACATCCTGTTCTCTTATGTGTCCTCTTCTTCACAACTCTCTTTACTTGTCTTTCCTTCCTGGTAGGAGTTCTGACATAAACATTTGTACATGCCTTGCCATTTCTTCTAGTTTTCTCAATTTTAATTTCCTTTTTAATGGGTAGGCAATCATGGAGACATTTTGACTCTGGACATGTTGTTGTTATGTGTGACCTTTCTAAAATCCAGAAATATATGTTTTAGTGAAAAACACAGAGTTCATGCATATCGCTGTATCTCATCCTCCTATATTCGTGTAATTTAAATTCATATCCACAAAGAATAAATACATTTTTTTAACGTCAACTTGGACATTAGATGACAGACTCCTGGTCCAACTGGTTTTCTACCCGATTGGGTGACAATCTGATATCTCCGGAGCAGTCTCATATAATCCTGGATGACCGTGCCTGGTAAATAAAGTGATTTGTTTAGCTCAAAATATGATGGCAGGCTATCTGTCTGGAGGAAGTGTTACCGCGTTTCTCCTTTTCTCCAAGTTGACTTGTCTAACCAATCTCTAATGCCTGTGACCAGCAACGTAGAAAAATGCATTATTTAAACCTATTTAACCTATTGTAACTAATGAGTACAGATATGTCACAGCACTCACAGATGCTGTAGTATTTTAAGTTGACTCAGTGTGAACCTTATGCTTTGTGGATCTTGAAATTTGGCTCAAAACACCTTATCTGTGCTGAGGACTTTTTTTTTACACCTTTTTGCACAGTCCATTATCATGATCAGTAAGTCTCTATTATAAGATCCAAACAGATTGCACAGTGATGGACGATGTAACAAAATGGACTATGGGTTGGACTTGATGGACGTATGTCTTTATTCAACCCCAAATACTATGTAAAAATGCAGATGTTGCTCATAACACCAGTAGCATGCCAAGTGCCATGTTTTATTAGGAAGGATAGAAAATGAAAACAGGAATGTGGTTGGTTGATATGTACAGCATCTTCACTTTTCACACCCCTGTTTAGTAGGATTGCAATAATTACTGTGGCCCAGAACATGTCTTCATTTTGTTTGGTCTGCAGATCCCTTTCTTTGTTGTATTTCAGGTTTTCTGTGTATATACCATTTGTTACAACTTGTAGATGCGTTGAAAAAAAATATTTGTCTCATGCCATAACTAAAAGTGATAAAAATTGTGCCCTTTTTTAATCATATGATTTAAGACTAGGCCAGCATGATGCCACATGACATTTGTAGTTTGCAGAAAATCTTGATGAACTGACATTAGAAGGTTGCTCCTGAATTCTTGACTGACCCATCCTGCCCCAAATAGGTTTCTGACATCAGTTCTGAGATGCTACAGGAGTGGCCAGGCAACCAATGACTTGGCGTAGGTGACATGAGCTAGTGTCAGTCTGATCTCACATTTATCCTCTTTCATCCATTTTACTATACAGTATAGAAAATAAATATTTATATAAACCTGCCTTTTTTAATAAAGGTCTGTTTAAAGTCTTTTCTTTGTTCTGTTCTTTCTCTGCAGGCAGCAGGCTCTTTGGGAGAGATACATGGGTACTTTACGAAGCTGTCTCCTGAAAATGTATCACAACTAAAGGAACAAGCTCACTAATGGGCTGTAAACTCAAGTACATGTCCACTGATCACATGACTGAATATCAGAAGGAAACCAGTGCTGAGAGATGCATTTAAAGCGGACCTTTACTCTCAAAAATCAAATTCAACCAATGCTTCCCTCTATGTATGCTGATTAATAATAACATAGACATGTCAGGTGTAAAATGCTGTAATTTTGAAATACTTACACTTGCAGAACATTCACTTCCTGCTTTGAAAGGGCAAACTGATTTCAGTTTGGCAAAGCAATGCACACTGGGATTGCTTTGTCATCAGCAGAGCATTGCTGGGAAATCTCATATGTAATCTAGCGAGATCTCAGGGAAAAGCATTTGCCTCCCCTGAGATGATGTGCATGGTCACATGTTTAGTCACATGTGACAGAGATCAAGGAAGTAATAGGAGAGCTACAGTGACGTGCGGTACCTCTTGCTCCGGGTGAAGCATTCCCCTGTCCCGCCCCCCTGCCGGCCGAAGATCCACCCTACCCCCAAGCTAGTGTAAAGGAGGAAGGGAGGAGCCTCCCTGTCCCTCACTTGCTCCTCACCGCTGAGGCGCACCGTCCATGACCGGTTACACAGCGGGGAGGATTTATCTGCAATGTAACCTGTTAGATGCCGCTCTGAATGGAGAAAAAGCTGTCGGCTTCAGACATGAACCTGACAGCTTTTTCCTCCATAATTCTAGATGAGGCTCTGCCTCCCCTGACCGCACATCCATGGAGAGCTAGTAATCTGCCCTTAGTAAACATGGCTACTGTCAGAAGACTGGGGAAGGAAAGAGAAACAAAGAATACAAAGCCTGCAATGTTCTAGAAGTTTCTGTTTGTAGATTGCCATTACCAAACATTTCTAAAGGTGTGTTTCTTGTTATTTTAAAGATATGGGTAAAGGTCCACTTTAACCTGTCATTGCTGACCCCTTACTGAAAATGCTGCTTGTCTGGCTGCTCCCAGTTTTAGACTGTCTTAGTCACTATCCCGGAGTAAGCATGGAGCATGCAAAGTCAGAATGAATTCAAGAATGTGTTTTGGCCAGCAGCTTAGAAAGTATTGAAGTAATTGGATGAGCATGACAGACAGAAAACTAGAATTTGTAGAGGAGATCAGCAATGGCAGCCTACATATTACTCTTAGTACAGGTATTATTTTACGATTTAGAATAGGATATGGCACTCCTCACTATCTGTGTCCCATTATTGTAACTGGTAATGTGTGTGTGTGTGTGTGTATATATGTAAATATAGAACATATATTAGTCCTATTCATACTTTTTTTTAAATAAAAGTTATTTTAAAATAGGCAATTTTGTTTCTAAGGTGTTGTGTGCTGAGTACTCGGTTGTAAATAAGTGGAGGGGACTGACAAGTCTTTGTGCCCTTTGTCCAGCATCCAATAATATGAAGGGTTCTTTGCAAGCATTTTACTCTAGGTGTTCTTACATATGTTTCCTCATGAAAAGTGGAGCTGTTACTTACAGTAACTGGCCGCCTTCATATTTCAGGTATAACAAGGAATCTGGAATCTATGGGTAACAGCTTCATTTTGTCCCCCATAAAATGGCCCCAGAGGGTTTGCTAATGATATTTACCCATTAAGGACTATGGGGAATCTTTTAAAACACAAGCCAAATTAATGCCAGTGTTTTCTACAGGACTTTGAAGTAGAAATTTATTTTTGGTCCTTTCAAATTAATGAATTGCTAAACTTGGAGCACAAAAATAGGATTTGCTTCTCAGCTCCCACCTATTCCGCACGTTTACCTACAAATAGGTTTCCACACATAATGGCTAATACAACAGTTATCCATTATGTTATGTGACTTTGCTTTTTGAAGAGTTTGGCTATACATAAAAGGACATGGTATTATTACTGTGGTCTGTAATGCACAACACTGAATTGGCTAGAGCCCAGAAGAGAGCAGCTGTTAATAGAGCTAAACCATGCTTTAATGATGTGGCTCAGGGCATAAAGATTGCTACCAGTTTATAGTTGGAGCTGAGTCGCATTACTGTAACATCTGTCCTTTGAGTTTGATGCACTCAGCAATGTAGTGAGCAACATTGCAAAGTATGTTTGGTAAAAGACCTTTCCATTAGTAAGTAGATGAGGTTCTGATTTTACAGATGTGGTAAATGTCAGTACATTTATTAAATGGGCTCTCAACACGAAAAAATGTACCTGCACTATTTCTGACAATGCAGTACACTGCAACGCACATAGCTATTACATATGTATTGTGCTGTATGCTTTAGCACAGGTTTATTAAGGTTTATGTATATGTTGGGGGTGCAATTAGTATGAATCCGTATGAATGGCAATGCACATTTACAGTTCGTTGCGATAATGTGCAATAAAACAGGTTTTAGTGCAAGTTATTAGTCATCGGGAGACTTCCAGTTTGCAGAAGATGAAACCAGATCTTGATAATAGATCAATACCTACCAAACGCCCCTCATTTGGAACCAAATCCCTCTGTCCCTTGTTCCTCCTCTGTTGTCCCTCTTTTTGGTCTAATGTACAGATATCTATGAAAAGGTTCTATTTAACTGCTAACAGTAGGGATGCACCGATACCAGTATTGGTGCAGATACTGGGCATTTTCCCCAATACTAAACACCGATACCGGTGCTTTAAATTTTTTAATGGGTTTGACTGCCTGAGGTCCCTGAGGTTGTTGGGGACCTCGCCAGCCTTGTGGGGACCTCCGCAGCGGCTCACAGGGGCTGCGTGTGGTGTCTCACCGGACACCACATCGCCACCTCCTCCTTCCTGCCTCTGGCAGAGCGCTGGTGAGACGCCACCTGCAGCCCTGGTGAGACTGCCTGCAGGACTCCTGAGATCTTGTTGGTGGCAGAGACACTTTAAGAAGAAGTATCACCACAATGTAAAAAACCCTGTTTAATCCCCTAGGGGACAGAGTGCATGCAGCACATAGTTCTGTTACTATCCATGGCCCCATTTTGTATTATAGTTAGACAGTGGTGGGTGGAGGGATGTGCTGTTAACCACACTTGCTCAACAACCCGGCCCAGCTTGTAAAGGGACCAAGCACTCGGTGCGAAATTCAGCAAGATTTTTCTACAATGTGTGATTCTACCTTCCATTATCCACTCAGAACTAAAGTGTCAGTTTAGGCTATTGGCTTTGCTAAACCAATGCCTAAAGTAGACGTAAACCTTTGTAATTTTTTTCTTTTCGTCAAATACCTTTCACCTTTTTTCATCCTTTTTGTTGCATCTCAGTTATGCTGATTTTCCTGCGACCTCTTTGCGGTCCATTCCTCTTTGGCATTTTTTACACTTTCTATCCATTGCTGTCTGGCCTAAGGGCCCATTCACACCACATCCAGATTACGTCCAGACCAGACTGTTTCCGGACCCAAAATGCATCCAATGTATTCCTATGCTATTTCTGGCTTCTGTTCCCACCAGCACAGTCCGTACCAGAGCAGAAAAATACTGCTTGTCCTATTTTCTCTGGTCTGGAATGCATCAAAAATGCATGGAACGCACCTGTGAGACCATTTTAAGCTTAAAAAAAAAAAAGAAATGCTGCAAAAATGCTATGCACTTTGTTCCAGATCTGGTCCGGTAAATGGTGTGAACCCAGCCTCAGGGCAGGTTCACACCATTTTTCGGACCAGATGTGGTATGGAAAATGGTGTGAACCTGCCCGCAGTTCCAGTGCATTCCAGACCAGACAACATGAGACATGCAGTATTTTTCTGGTCTGGTCTGGTCTGGAACGGACTGCACTGGTGTGAATGGAGGCCAGAAATAGCATAGGGATACATTAGGATGCATTTTGGGTCCGGAAACAATCTGGAGCTGATCTGGATGTGGTGTGAATGGGTCCTTATTGTGACAATTACTCTGCAGATGTAATGCAGTTAAAAAATATTGAAAATGACATTCGAAATGAAATTATAGAGGAGCGGAGCTCTGGAAGCTGTGCCCAAAAGAAAAGGACAGGCAGAGTGTGAAGAACTAATCCCCAGTATCGCCTGTGGTCTCCGTGCAGCTGATCTTTTCCTATTACTGGCTTACCTTGCCTTGTTCTGTACTGTCTTTGTATGGGGTGGCCATCTTGGTAGAGGCAGGGCTTGCTTTCTCATGTCAGAGCCTTCAGCAAGGAAAACAGTGACTAGCAGCACATGGACTAGCAGTTGGAGGCAGCAGCACCGTTTATCTCACCCTGCAGATATACAGCTATGAGGCTGTAGGCACAGGAGTTTCTTGGCACCCTTGCATACCAAGAAGGCACAGTTAACAGGTGTTCCCTGTAACATAGCAAATTTTCACTTTTTGAGTTCAGTTTCACTTTAACGTATTGCAGCTTATATGATATTTTACAGATTTGGTTTTCATCGACTTCAAAGGCCTCATTCCCACGAGAAACGGCCGGCACGTACAGCTCTGTGCTGCGTGCACAGCCGTAACGAGCAGCTCCCGGGAAGGACAGGTGCTGCGTGTGATTAGTACGCAGCCCCTGTCCTTCTCTATGGGAGTATATGGCCATACGCACCTCTACGCTCACCCCAAGTGCAGGTCCATAAGGGTGCGGGTGTCCCGGCTCAGACTCAGACAGCATCCATCCTGTCGTCCTGATCATTGTGCTTGAATGACTCCCAGCTCCATTCAACCCACTTTCCTGTGGGCCCAGGGTGTCAAAAACACACAGAGAAGTGCTGTGATGTCACAGGACTGGAGTTAATACCTAGAAAAAAGGTATATATACTTTTTTTTGTGTATTTTTATTGGGCCAAAGGAAGAATGATCCCAAGCCCGGAGTAGGGGTTTAAGCACTCTTTGAGTCAGTGTTATAAAGAAGTATGATGAGGAACCCCATACAAACATGTGGTGAGCTTACAAAGTCAAGCAATGCAGATAGCATCCTTAGGGGGATGGAAACCCCAGAGCAGCAAGGCAAGCACCCTAACCCCACTGTGCTGCTCAACTAGCAGGAAATTAAAGCAGAACTCTAGGCAAAAATGTTCTTAACCCTTGCGGTGGGGCTATCCCAGCACTACAAGGGTTAAGG